TTTTTTTTTTGGAAAGTGCATTGAAGAAATACTTAAATGAGTTGAACAACGAAAACAGTATGTGCTGCAGAAAGTTAATGGCTTTGAGTAGGTTTACTGGTATTCCGAAAAATCTGGCAGTGGTGGAGTCCACCCGACACGGTTTTCGTTCCATGATTGCTATTTTCGGGATACTGAAGTACGTTCACGAATATTACAGTTCCTAAGATGTTATTCAGATAACTGCATCTTGCGCCGGAGTTTTTGCTGCACAGCAGGTGTTTCTGAGATTTTCTTGTTAGGATGATACTTTGTGTCTTCAATGTTTCCTTGCTCCACAATGTTTTGGAATTGAGTTCTTACTCTACAGTAGTCTGTCCTCAGAAGTTTTGAGGAATCTGCATTTTTAGTCGGGATATTGGTCGAAGCTCAGGCTTTAGGTGGGGTTCGAACTTGCGATATATATTTTGCCACGGCATAGCTTTTTATGCTTCTTTGTTAAAACTTTTCTTTCATTTTTCATTGAAAAAACCAAGAAAATTAGTTTTGATTTGTTCTTTCTTTCTGATGCACTTAAAATAGGTTTCTCAAGACATTTCACATGTTTAACGCCAATGCTTGTTAAAAAGAAAACGAGGAGAAATCGACGATAATTGTAGCGGTTTTTGTTCTTTATAAATATGTTTTTAGATCAGAGTTCGAAGTTTATGTATTCGCAAATTTATTTAGTGTAGAAATATTAATGAAGACTAATATTAATTTCAGTCGTTAAATTGGTCTACCATATCCCTAGTTTATCGGCGTTTTGCATTGGGATTACTGAAGATGGCACAAGGAGGTAAAAATTTTGATAACACGCCACCACCTGCCTATGATGATATATATCCGGGCAAAATTCCATCCAACAACATATACCCCGGAATGCCAGAAGATATCTCGAAAGATAATATAAAATTTGATGATGAAAAAGATAAAAATGACACGGACAAGAAGAAACTTCAACTCTCAAAAGTTGAAGGAGTTGCAAAGCTAATGAAAGCTATTGATTTTGCCGCACGCCGTCATCGGTTTCAAAGGCGAAAGGATCCGGAAGGGAGCCCCTACATTAACCATTCGATCGGTAACCGTTCTCCCCTGATGTTTCAGATTTTGCTGTAGCTTTCACAGTTGATGTTCATTGTCACTTCACTTCTTTTTCTTTATATAAATTAGACCTTAACATTTTGTTATGTTTTACTTGATCAGGACTGCAACACAGACATTTTAGGAGTTGCAAATATATTGGCCAGCGAAGGTCACATCCTTGATGTCGATATACTGGCAGCTTCCGTACTTCATGATATTGTTGAGAATACAAAAACGACTCCAGAGGAAATTGAAGAATTGTTCGGCAGAAGGGTACACGTTAATTACAGTTTTTTGTTTACAAAGGTTTTTTAAACAAATTTTAATGTTAAAAAATTCCCGATTTGACTTTTATCTATGAAATGGTGGCATTTTTGCTAGGAATGCCAAATGAATTACTTTTTTAAAAAGTTTTAAGAGCGTGTTCTTAATATTTTTGCTTTTGGAGGTTCGTGGGGTTGTTAGTGAATGTACACTGAATAAACAATCGGCAAGTGATCGTAGGAAAGTTCAGATGGAAAGAGCGCCTCAACTAAGTCGCGAAGTAAGTTCTATAAGGTTTTTTCAAGCAGTCGAGTGCAGTTCGCGAATGGACTTCTGTATTTATGAATCCTTTGGATTTAAGGCGAAATTGGTAATCTTAGCTGATAAGCTGCACAACCTAAGAGATGCGGAGAGGAGCTTACCAGTGGGTTGGACTCCACATTATCGAAAAGATGTATTCAAGTGGACGAAAGAATATATTGCGTTGCTGAAGGGTACAAATGAACATTTGGAAATGGCTTTAGATGATGTCATAAACAGGAATTCCGGATGACGATAATAAACTGGTTTCGCTTTCTTACCTTCTTCGTTTAGATGTTGCTCCATGTAATCATTACTGATTGAACATATGTTCTTGAAACCCTTAACGCTAACAGAATATTTTCTGCGCAGTTTGAATGCGAGGGAAGTAGAGAGTTTTGAACTGTAGTTGGTGGTTGATGGTTCAGACAGTGCAGCTAACTATAGAAACAGTGCTCTTGTAGTAGCAATTTAAGGTTCTAATTGTGCTATTTTTCTTTTTTTTAATGGTTACTCAACCTTAATGTAAATTTTTTGATGATTTTTCGAGTTTGCACTTTGATTACAGTCGAGACCAGTTACAAATCCAGGCGGTTCCTATTGTTTTCCTGTTAGTAGTAATTGTTTGTTTAGAACAGATTCAAGCAACGGGCGTTTTTAGGCAAGAGTGATTTGTTAAAACAGAAATTAAGGACACTGATACAATCTAGGTTTCATATTGAGCAGTACAAAAGTTACAGATCTATAGGAAAGCCAGTGGACAACAACTGTCGCTAATGATGACAAATTGCATAAAGTATGTATTTTTGTTGATTGTAAAACTCAACTCACTTTTTCATTTAAGGCGGAATCTTCTGCAGTAATATTGAACGGCCTAAAGATTTTAAAAGTCTCCGTCTTTCAAATATGCTTCTTGGAATTTTTGTGGGGATGTTCCTTATCTTTTTAATGGGAGGGAGAGGGAGAAAAACGAAAGGTGGCGAAAAAAGTACTAACACTGATTTATAGATGGGTTATCAATAGTTACCCCTGAGCATTGGTAGTACCTCCAATTATCCGCGAGTTTCCCTTTCTTGCTTTCATCATCATCATTATCAACAGCAATAAAGAAAAAATGTGACATTTGACATTTCACTTTCCTTTTTTGTACAGCTTATATGGGGTCTCTTTATACAGCTTAATTGGAAGAGAAGTAAGGAAAGGAAAGGAAATGTAACGAGAAAAGAACGACAGAGCAGTATCGTTTTGAACAAGAGAAAGATGTTGGAAAAAAAAAAAAAAAACAAGAATCAACATAATATACATGTACACTCATATTAATATTAACTTCAATGTTAAGTTCAATTTATTTTTGGAAAATTAAATAATGCTATTATTGTTCACGAAAAAAAGAAGAAATTGCAAAACCCGTCCTGTTTGAATAAAAAAAAAAATGAAACTTGTTTGTCTCTAAATTTCCACTTTTTTATTTCTGCTTTTATCAGCTTCTTTATTTATCGGCTTATTGCGAAAACTTTAAGTACTATTATACATCGGTAGTTCGTTGGGGTGACGGAGCTGTTGCCGTATAAGGGGGTGGTCGAGTTACTGAAGCTGGTTGTGTTACCGCCGTTTGTCCTGAATTCCCAGGTGCATGTGGAGAACTTAAAAACGCTGGTATTCGTACTGAGTAATATATCATAAAGAAAATTCTTTTTAAAAAACCCTATCAAATGGTAAACAAATAACAGTAAGTTGCTGCCATTACTTTCTGCCATTGATTTTGGACGACCAGTGGTATCTTTCCTTTCTTTTTGGCCAGAATTTTAACTGTTTTAGACGGCAACAACATCAGAAGCGGTCAAGAAATTGAAAAGGTTGTTGAAAAGATTCAGTAAGTATTTGGATGGCACCAGCATATCGG